ATAAAATAAATAATACACAAAAATCATGTTAGACCAGCATACAAATGCACTGAAGTCTGACATTCTATATATATAATACATAATGCAAAAAAAGCCCTTAAAAATATATATAGGGACCTGCACTGAATTAAAGGAAGGGTTGGGGGGGGGGTGTGGCACGAAGGTCATAAATCCACTTGGCCTCCCTTTTTAGGCGTATCTATCAAAATTGCCCCCTCTGGGATCTTCATACACCTTTTCTAAGGCTGCAAATTTAATAATAGAGTAATCATAGTTATGTTGAAGACCAGCATGAGCTCCTGTAGGTGTATTCAATAGACCATTTTGAGCATAATAGATGTGGTCCTTAATTATCTTTCAAAATCATCTAATAGTTTTGCTGATGTAGAAAGCTCCACATCGGCATAACATAATCTATATAACTCCCTTCGTTTGACAGTCAATGTGTTGTTTAACTATGTGTAGATTTCCATTAGGTAATTTTAAGGAAGTACCCTTCACTATCCATGGACAAAATTTACACATCAAAATAAGCCGGGTGCTTCTCCATGCAGGGGATCTTATCTGATATAGTGGCTCCTAGCTATCCAATCTCAAATAGATCGAGAATGTCTGTAGGTGAACTTAGGGTAATTTTTTAAATGTTTCTGTAAAATTGAATCTTCAGTTAATAATTGCCAGTGTTTTTTGTATAATAACCTTAATTTTGAGATGCTGATTGGAATAAGTAGTAATTAATCTTACTGAACTATTATCTTTTGGTTTGGGCTTTGAAAAAAAGTAACTCATGTCTGCATTTTGCAATTGCTCAATTGAAGGCCTTCTTCAAGCAAGACAAGATATAACCTCAATATAAAAGTTGGTGTAACGCATTTGCTTCCTTTTTAAATGTCGTCTCCTTAGAACAATGTAACTGTAAATATTGTCTGTATGGAATACTGTGTACCAGCAAGTGCGGACTGCACTCCTGGCATGCAGTGTAGTGTTGCCTGCTGTAGGCTTGCAGAAACGAGAAGTGCCTATATGGCCATCATCTATAGTCAATTGAGTGTCCAAGAAGGATATGGTCTGATGGCTATAGGTAAAGGTAACTTTTTAGATTATATCTATTACAACTGATGATGTCAATAAACTTGTAAAGCTCCTCAGTACTACCCGTCCAAAGCATCAACACACCATCAATATACCTATACCACTACAAAATGCTGGAAAGGTACATTGTGAGAGCCTCATCTGAAAATAAGTCTCCTTCCGATCCCCCCAGGTACAGTTGGCATAGGATGGTGCACAACAGGTGCCCATAGTTACCCCCTGTACCGGAGGAGATGGGAACCATCGAATGTAAAAACATTTGTAGTAAGTATATGTGAAAGAAGAGTCACAATAAACTCATTGAATGGTCTAGAAGCTTGGTCTCTTTCCGAGAGAAATTCCCGTATAACACATAAGCCACTGTCATGGGGGATGAAAGAATATAGTGTCTCAATATCAATGGCTACTAAAATACAATCTGGGGGTTCTAAAACCCCATCAAGTGCTCATAGTAAGTCTGTGGTATCTTGTATTTATGAAGGTAAGCTCGTGACATGGGGTCATAGATATTTATCTATTAATCGACTTGCTAGTTCAATTTTGAGCCTATACCCAAAATAATGGGTCCTCCTGGTGGATTATTTACATTGTTATGTGTTTTTGGTAGAGCATAAAAAGGAGTGCAAGGATGTTTACTTCAAGGGCTTTGAACATATCTTTGGTGATAGTTCCTTCCAGGTATGCATGGAAAATAATGTTGTCAAATTCTTTGTTAAACTTGGCAATAGAATCCTCTGAAATGAGTCTATACCAAGTGTTACTAATTGCTTATACAGTGATCATCACTATAATAAACAATCACAGTGTATAGAAAAACCTCTGATCACTCCCCAGAGTAAAACAAAATTGTGAAACAAAAACAAGTGCAATGTCAGTATGGTGACATTGTACCACTGTGGTGGTGATCATTAGAGATGAGCGAATTATTCAAAAATTCGATTCGGCTGATTCGCAGAATTTGAGGAAGAAATTTGATTTGATGCGAATTTATTCGCTGCAAATTTAACTTATAAAAAGGGTTTCTAGGCTTCAGAGAGCCTTTATATTAGTGCAGAACACTGTACCTTTAATTTAAATGCCCTTGGAGATGAGGAAGGAGAAGGAGAAGGATGAGAAGAAAGGAGAAGGATGAGAAGAAGGAGAAGGATGAGAAGAAGGAGAAGGATGAGAAGAAGGAGAAGGATGAGAAGAGAAGGAGAAGGAGAAGGAGAAGGATGAGAAGAAGGAGAAGGATGAGAAGAAGGAGAAGGATGAGGAGAAGGAGAAGGATGAGAAGAAGGAGAAGGATGAGAAGAAGGAGAAGGAGAAGGATGAGAAGAAGGAGAAGGATGAGAAGAAGGAGAAGGATGAGAAGAAGGATGAGAAGAAGGAGAAGGATGAGAAGAAGGATGAGAAGAAGGAGAAGGATGAGAAGAAGGATGATGAGAAGAAGGAGAAGGATGAGAAGAAGAAGAAGGATGAGAAGAAGAAGAAGGATGAGAAGAAGGAGAATTCCAAGCCGGCAAAAAGTGTATCTGCAGAGCTCCGCTATTTCTTACATAAATGGAAACAAATAGATACAATGTTTTCAACCGCTGTATGGAGTGAATGTCAGAGAACTGTCAGAAATAGCGGAGCTCTGCAGATACACTAAGCTGCAGATACACTTTTTGCCGGCTTGGAATTCTTCTTATTTTCATCCTACTCTTCTTTCTTCCTCTTCTTCTTCTTCTTCTTCTTCATCCTCATCCTCTTCTTCTTCTGAGGATGAGAAATGAATGAAGAAGAAGAAGAAGAAGTAGGATGAAAATAAGAAGAATTCCAATCCGGCAAAAAGTGTATCTGCAGAGCTCCGCTAAGTGTATCTGCAGAGCTCCGCTATTTCTGACAGTTCTCTGACATTCACTCCATACAGCGGTTTGAAACATTGTATCTATTTGTTTCCATTTATGTCAAGAACTGAAGAAGAAAAAAGAAGAATGAGAAGAATGAAAAGAAGAATGAAAAGAAGAAGAATGAAAAGAAGAATGAGAAGAAGAAAAGAATGAAAAAGAAGAATGAAAAGAAGAATGAGAAGAATGAAAAGAAATGAAGAAGAATGAAAAGAAGAATGAAAAGAAGAAGAAGAAGAATGAAAAAGAAGAAGAAGAATGAGAAGTAGGAAGAATGAAAAGAAGAAAGAATGAAAAAAAGAATGAGAAGAATGAAAAAAAGAATGAGAAGAATGAAAAGAAGAAATAAGAAGAATGAAAAGAAGAATGAAAAGAAGAAGAAGAATGAAAAGAAGAAGAAGAAGAAATGAAAAGAAGAATGAAAAGAAGAAGAAGAATGAAAAGAAGAAAAAAAGAAGAATGAAAAGAAGAATGAGAAGAATGAAAAGATTCTTATTCTTCTCTTTTCATTCTTCTTTTCAGCCGCTGTACATGTGAAGGAACTGTCAGAGAACTGTCAGAAATAGCGGAGCTCTCTGCAGGGACACTTTTGCCGCTGATCGGGAAAAATCCGATTCGCGCACCCGAAGTATGCTAATATTCGGATTCGCCGCGAATCGAATTTTTCCTGAAATTCGAAACGAATTCCACTTCGCCTGGTTCGATTCGCTCATCTCTAGTGATCATGTACAATGGCTGGCTGCTCTGATATCACTGTAAGTCAGTTCTACCAGCCATTATCTCTGATCATGTATCTGCCTGTGCCCTGAACTGATGCAACTGCACATCCAATTGACTACGTTCTCCAGGCTAGTAAACATGAAATTTCTTGTGGCAGCCATGAACCAGTAGGCTAGGTATGCTTGGTTTATAGAAACTGTGACTACTATTGGTGACACTACACTAAGCTATATTCCCTTACCATTTGTATAGAGGTACATATTATAGTACTTTTTGACATTTTTGACACAATTGGTTGATTTGTGTGATATGCAAGATATAATGTCAAGTACATAATCAGTCCAAAAAGTGAAAAGTCTCAAACGTGTGGTATAATCATAATCAGGGAGTAGTAGTAGAATGTGTTTTGGGTTGTCATTCTAAGTATGCCCATGCTATGTGTGAAAAATATCTTATTAAATTGACGTTTTGTCAATAAATGAATTTTCACTTTCTTTACGCATTTAAAAATTGAAATCTTCAAAAAACTCACCATGCCTCTTCAAAAATACCTTGCAGTGTTTAAGCTCCAAAATGTGGTCATTTTGTGAGTGTTTCCACTGTCCTGGTGCTCCAGGGCCTCCAAAAATTGTATAGGTAGTCAGGAAATTAGATTTATAATTTATGCTCCTTGAAAGCCCAAAGGTGCTTCTTGGACTTTGGGCCCCTCTATGCATCTAGGCTGTGAAAAAGTCTCAGACATGTGGTATCCCCATACTCGGTAGGTATAGTAAACCAGCTTTGTGGTGTAATTATACGTATGCATATGCTGTGTGTGAGAAATATCTTGTTAAAATTACAGCTCTGTGATAAATGTAGTTGTTTTCTTCATTTTCCAAAAACTTTGACAAAAAACTACAACTTTAATCACTAGCCTACAGGGCCCTTATACCCCCTTCCTGCCCAGCAAATTTCCAGCTTTCAGCGCTGTCGCAATTTGAATGACATTTTTATATTTTTTTTGTGACAGATAGAGCTTTATTTTGGTGGTATTTAATCACCTCCGGGTTTTTTTTTTTCTTAAACAAACCAAAAACCACTGAAAATGCTGAAAAAAATTTTTTTTCTTAGTTTTTGTTATAAAAGTTTGTAAATAAGTGATTTTTCTCCTTCACTGATGTGCGCTAATAAGGCTGCAGTGATGGACACTGATAGGCTGCACTGATGGACACTGATAGGTGGCACTGATGGGCACTGATGAGGAGGCACTGGTAGGTGGCACTGATGGGCATTGACAGGCATCACTGATGGGCAATGATAGGCGGCACTGATAGGCGGCACTGACTGGCACTGATAGGCGGCACTGACTGGCACTGTTAGGTGGCACTGGCTGGCACTGTTAGGTGGCACTGATAGGCAGCACTGACGGGTACTGATAGGCAGCACTGATGCACACTGATAAGCGGCACTGACTGGCACTGATAGGTGGCACTGATAGGTGGCACTGACTGGCATTGATAGGCGGCATTGACTGGCACTGATGGGTGACACTGAAAGGCAGCTCAGATGGGCACTGATATGTGGCATTGATGTGCACTGGTAGGCCCTGATATGTGGCATTGATTGTGGCACTGATGTGGCACTGATGGGCACTGGCAGGTGGCATTGATGAGTACTGACAGCTGGCATTGATGGACACTGACAGGTGGCATTGCTGGGGCTACGCTGATCATCAGGGCACACTGATCATCACAGATTATCGGCTCTCCTCTCGAGCTGTCAGCGTGACAGCTTGTGAGGAGAGAAATGCCGATAACCGGCATTTCCCTGTTTACACGCGATCCGCTGTGATTGGACATAGCGGATCACATGACGGAGCCGACATCTTTGGCTCTTTCCGTGGATCGGTGATCCACTGTGTCTCTGGGGGGCACAGCACACCGCTGATCGCCGCTCGCTGCACGCTCCCGGAGCCATGCATGCGTGGTGAGAATGGGAGGACGTCATATGACGTCCTCCCAGAACAAGAGAACCGCCTTCGCCCGTCATTGGACTATATGGCGGGTGGGAGGCAGTTAAAAACTCACCATGTCTCTTACTACATGCCTTGGACTGTCTACTTTTCAAAAAAGGGAGAATGGGGGGGGGGGGGGGGGGGTATTTGTACTGTCCTGTATTTTAGGGCCTCAAGAAATGAGATAGGCAGTCATAATATCAGTACTGAGCAATTTTTCAATATTTATGCCACTGTTTGTACATGTTAACTTTCACACAGACTAAATAATAGATAATAATGATGTATAATAATAAAGATGTATAATAATTATACACTAATTTTGGATATTTTTTTTTTTACAAAAGAAAAGTAGCAGAATATGTGTTGGCCTACATTTATGAAGAAACTTTATTTATTTGCAAAAATTTTTAATAGAAAAAAAATGTGTTTTTTAAATATTTTTGGGGGCTTCTTGCATTTATATAGGAAGGCACTCCACCTATATTGAGGACATGTGGCCTGGTATGGTTTCGGGGGGACAATCTTATTCCCCTTGCCATCCATACTGCATACTCAGATTAAATTAAGGATCTAGGTTGGATTTTTAGAGGCACCTCACACCTTTTTTTTGTGTAAGGTACCCGCTTAAAACCCATACCAGACTCAAAAGGTCTGGTATATATATTTTGTGAGTGACCCTATGCAATTTTTTTTTGTTCTTTCTTGCTTTAGGGTGTGTTACATGAAAGCATCTTAAAAAAAAGCAAACCCCTCCAAGGGTCCTCCAAAGTACTGTACATAGAGGATTGTTGGAAGGAGTTGTCTTTGTGCTTTAAAAACAAAAGCAAAAAAACAAAGAATGGCAATGACAACTAGAGATATACATGATGACAAAATCGCTTCATTTAATATTAGATTAATTTGTTAGGTCAATCATTTTCTTTTGTCATGTTTGTTACATTAGAATGATTTATTTTTGGAATCTGTTTTGTATATTAGTTATTCTGAATTGATTTATTTAGGATTCATTTGTTATATTGGTATGTTATTTAGCTGCTTTCTTGCAACTTCAATGCGACTTGCTTGCAACTTTGGCCAATCTTAACAGTTTCTGATTGTTTGGTCAGAGACGTTCATGCCAGTGGCCTGCTGGAGGTCATTTTGTAGGGCTCTGGAAGTGATCATCCTGTTCCTCCTTGCACAAAGGAGCAGAGACCAGTCCTGCTGATGGGTTAAGGACTAGCTACCTGCCCTGTCCAGCTCTCCTAGAGTAACTGCCTGTCTCCTAGAATCTCCTACATGCTCTTGAGAATGTGCTGGGAGACACAACAAACCTTCTGGCAATGGCACATATTGATGTGCCATCCTGGAGGAGTTGTGCAACCTCTGTAGGGTCTAGGTATTGCCTTGTGCTACAGTAGTGACACTGATCCTAGCCAAATGCAATACTAGTAAAAAACAGTCAGAAAGATGAGTAGGGAAAAAAATGTCAGTGTCCTCCACCTGTTAAAACTCTGCTCTTAACTGGCCACATAAAATCCCAAAGGGGTTTAAAATTGGGCCCTTTCTAAAAACTATACTATATAAAAAATGTACTTTTTTTTTTTTTTGAGCAATGTTCTTCAGTCCCGCATAAATTGAAATTTTTTGTATTGCTTTCATCTAAGGGGGGAAGGATAAAGGTTAACTTTTTAAATTTTAGTTGTTGGGAAAGAAGGGTTCCAACCTTTTTTGTTTTGCAACCTTTTTGGGTAAATTGCCCCTTTAAACTGTTTTTTTCTGCCTCCAAAACGAAAAAAAAAGGAAACCGAATTTTAAAAGTATTGGAAATTTCACGTTTAAGGCCCGCCCGTACTGTGAAAAAAATAAATTTAAGTGATTTTTGAAGAGAATTTTAAGGGAGTGTCCAGAAAAAGATAAATGTTTAAAGGGCTGGGGTCATAGTCCCGACCTGGAGTAAAAAATAATTTTAGCAGTTTGAAAACTGAAGAATGGAGAAAGTTATTTAAGAAATGGGAATTTAGGAAACTTTGGGATTAAGGGAGAAGGTATTAAAAGGGGAAGAAGTGGGGAAAGTCCTGTTTTTGTGAGTTTTTGGTAAACCCCGCTTTTTTAACATGATTATAAATTTGCTCTAAAGGGATCCCCAAAACTCTAGAGGCAGCAAATTTTGGAGGGAGGGTCATGTTTTCCCCCCGGAGGGGGATTAATTTTTTATATGGGGGCCCTATGTAAGTCCCCCCCACTGTTTGTAAGATGAAATTTGGGGGATAGGGGAATCAAGTAGGGGAAGTGGAAAATTTGAGTCGGAAAATTGGAAAATTTTTGGGTTTTGCGGCCGGGTTTCCCAAAAAAAAGCCTCTTCGGGGCGCCCCGAAATCGAAATTTTTCCTAAAATGGCGGCGGACATGTGGGGGCCGGGGGAGCGGGGTTTTTGGGAAGGCGCGCAGACAAGGGCGCTGAACCCTAATGCAATTTCCCAATTTACATTGATCGCATTACCAAACGCAGCCCCGGGGAGGGCCGGGACTGGGTAATGGTCGAGCTTAAAAAATAGCGGGCCATTTTTTGAAATTTTTCATTTGCCCCAGTCATTCAAGGAGAGAACGTCTGTATTAGGGACAGAATTGGGCCACAGAAACGTTTAATTGGGGACAGAGAAAAACGTTAAATTTTGGGACGAGAAGCATTACTAGGGACACAAATTGTTAATGAGGGCCCCGAATCATTACT